TTAAGTTTGGGTTCGTTAATTAAAATCGGGGTTCTTAATTGTAATAGTTTGCAGGATTTGGGAAAACTGGGGACATTTTATAATATTTTAGTAGGGAATATTATCTGCTATACAAAAAAGTGGGCTTCAATACCGACTCTCTTTTGTCTATTCGCAGCTTTTGTTCTGGGGCAGTTTGTTTGACTAACTCCGTGGGGCGTAGACATGAGGGAGTTATTTTGTGTAAGTGAACTTTTAACACAGTATGTAAAGTTACGCCAATGTTTGACGTGTTGTTTCTATTACTTGCTACTTTTATAAATAAATCTATAGTCTCTTCTTTAATGTGTACGTCTTGTCTAAAGTATCTGACCTTCTTAAAGTTTAGGATAATTTGTGTCAGTCACAGTTTTCTTTTTTAAATGAAGCTATTGTTGTCGGAGTCTTGAACCATGTTATTGACGTTGCTGTGTATAGATTCCCAGAAAAATACTATTGTGATGTTAGTCGAAGAACTTTTATGTTTATGTTAGATACATTTTCTTTATTGGCGGTTTTAATTTTTGGTTTGTTTTTCTATAAAAAACACACAAATAACCTAATGGTTAGCGTGCTGGACTGTAGAGCTGAAATTCTAGGGTTCGTGTTCCGTTACCGCCAAAAATATTTCGCTATGTACCTTGTGGCCATGGGTACGTTAGAGTGATGATCATATTCAATTGTTTTGTATGAAAAAAGTAGTCCAAGAGTTGCTGATAGGTGATGTTGACTAACTGCCTTCGCTCTAGTCTGCCACTTCAAAATTAGCTAGCGCGGATAGCTCTCGTATAGTTTTGCGCGCAATCCGACAAAATAAACATAGCAACGAGCTTATGTTCACTTGACAAACACTTATTCTTGGCCATGTTGTACAGCCTAAGATTAATAAGGTACTTATTATCAATGCATTTCAGACATCTGTTGTGGTGTTTGATGTGTAGTGCAAGACTTGGATTATGTTGGTACTGTGGTTCATTTAATTAGGGGCAGTAGAGTTTTGCAAGACTTGGATTATGTTGATACTGTTGTTAATTTAATTAGCTTTGTAATGACAGCTGATGATGACAAAACCTTGTACATTTTCTGTTATGTTAAACTTATATTAAAGTTTTTCTTCATTACCCATTTAAGCCGTCTCCAGCCATTATTAGTCTCAAAGTGGGTTCCTCGTCACCCAATTTAAAGTCTGCTTTCTAGTCTGAAACTTCCTTGATGTCTTATGATGAGCGAGTTAATTTCGAGTTGACAAAGGTACAATTCACTTAATAGGGAGCTAGCTAGCTCTGTGAAATTCACTGATCACACGCCGATTTTTCCTACCGGTGACGTTAGGTGATGTTTTCGTAAAAGTACTAATGTCTGATGTGAATCCACTGAAGTTCAATGATTTATAATGT